ATGTACACATTTACATAAAGATATAATTTATGTCTCTGTACAGAATATACATAATTCTAACCTATGATATGATTAGGAAAGCTTTGGAAATCATTTCTAACTCGATCTACGGTCCTCTCAAAAATTCGAATACCATTTGAATAATTTTTTTTATTTATAATAGAAAATATATATATTAAATTGTGAATAATTTTAGAAACTATATTACGCGAAATTAGAATGGATAACCTTTGGACACGCAATCCTAGTCGCTAGCACCACCACGCGCCATCACATGCGTATCACCGAAAATATTAGGTGTTGATGATCGAATTAACGGGCGTTGTCGCATGCGGCGCACCAATATCATATCGGTCGCCACACTTCTATTTTTTCTTCCTTCCTTTTTTTTCCTTTTTTTCTTTCATTTTTTTTTCTTTTTTTTTTCTTTTTTTTCCTTTTTTTTCTTCTTCTTCCTCCTTTCTTGCAGCTCCTCTTTTTCTCTTTTTTTTTTTCTTCTTCTTTCTCCTTTCCCACAACTCCTCTTCTTTTTTTTCTTTCTTCTTTCTTTTTCCTTTCTTCTTCTTCTTCTTCTTCTTTCTTCTTCTTCTTTCTTCTCTCTTTCTCTCTCTATCCACCGCGTTTCTTCTCTCTCTCCTTTTTTCTCTCTCTAACCGACATGATTCTTCTCTCTATTCTTGATCTCTCATCTCTTTCTTTTTTTTGTTATTTAATTACATATATATTTACTGCTTGGATATTACATATCCAGTCACAAAAGATATGTATTAAAATGTAGTTTCGCTGCATATTTAAGATTTATCTGTTCCACTAGTTAGAAATATTGTGCTAACGTCTGTACCCACCAACATTGAGATCCGGGCTGTTATAATATACTAACTGGAATGGAAGTGTGGCAACCAAATCTGATGCTAGTGCGCCACATCTGGTAACGCGCGCTGATGATGGCATTTTCAGTGACACGCGTGTGATGACGGATGGTGACGCTAGCGATTGGGACCACGTGTCCAAAGGTAAAATATATTCCTCCTTCTGAGTTTACAGTTTCTAAAATTATTCGTAAATTAATGTATATTTTTCGTTGTAAAAGATAAAAATTATCTAAACGATATCTGGATTTCTGAGATGATTGTAAACCGAGTCAAAAAATATTTTTAAAACTTTTTCGATTACACCGTAGGTAAGAATTATGTGCATTCTATACAGAGATATAATATTATATTTATAAATTATAAATAAAGTGTGTAAATATAAACATGTATAAATTGTGTATGTGTAAATATTAATGGATGAGAATAAAATTAATAAGAATAAATGCATTAATAAATATATATATATATATATATGGTATGTTGTGTGTGATTGTGTATATGTGTTTAAATATGAACGTGTGTGTATATATCGATAGAGATTGTATTTGTGTAAATATAAATATATATTTTGTGTGAGACATATAGTGAGGGTACATGTCTGTATTGTAATATATATGTATATATATATTAATATGTGTGTACATATATTATGCACGTAAAATATATAATCAATGTTTGTACGTGTAGAATTTGGGTACACTGTACTTACTATGTGATTTGGTACAGATGTAATACATTTTGTACTTGCTGTGTGATATAGTACAGTTGCGCGA